GGTGGGGGGGTTATACCGGTCAGTTACCGGCCGATAGCGAGGCCCAGTATACACTGTGTAGGGAAGGGTACCCACCGCACCAGCTTAACTAACACGACCCCCCACGCAGAGGGAGGCGAGGCAGCAGCTGTAGCGAGCGACCCCACACACACCCGACCCGACCCCCAGGGGACGTGGGTAGTAGCCGCTGGTGGTACCCGGTCCAGCCCGCCGCCGAGGGGAGTGCCCCCTGCTGCCCTGCACTGCGCGCCCGACCCGCCAGCCCTGGCGGCCCAAATTAAAGCTAAGTCCCCTCCGAGCCGGCGAATGAGGCGGCGGAGCGGATTAAGGGAGGGTGAGGGGGTGCGACCAAGACCAGCCCGGCTGAGCCGAGCGCTGCAAGTCTGCGCCCGCCGGGGCGCCGCCGGCCCCTCGCTTTGCATTCAGAGACACATTCCCAGGGAATTAGACAGCCAGTGCGCTGGGGGGAGGGTCCACGGCGCGGCAGCGGGGCAGGGCCGCCGATCAGACCACCGGGCCGGCAGCGTCCGCTGCGCGCGCTTACCCCGTGTCGGACGCAGAACAAAGCAAAGGCGCTGGGCAGCAGAGCCACCCGGGCCCCCTCCGGTGTCGCACAGGGGCGCGACGACGGGTCCGATCCTATAGGGGATTCTATAGGGGGAAAAGTGGGGGGAGTGGGAGGGGCCGTTACTGAGAGACCGACACGTGGCAGAGCGGGGAAGGGCGAGCGCGCTCGGACACACACGCACGCACACACAGACAGACGGCCGCCCTCCCGTGTGTGCATGTGAAGGTGTGTGTAAGGTAAGGAGAACTCTAGTGCGAAACGACGGCGGGGCGAGTTCAGTGAAAACTGTTTGGGGTTCCTCTTCTCAGAACAAAATATGGGCGCCAGATGATGGCGTTCTTAGAAGGACGCAAAATTTTTGGCGCCATAAGACGCCAACCAAGTTTACAGCGAAATATGCTCTGCGAGAGCTTACAGCAGCTTACAGCTGCTGCGTGCCGCCGATCGACTAGGAACAAGACCCAAATAGGAAGGTATGCCGTTTCTCCGCCGGCGTCGGGTTTCGCATTGAATCTACTCTTATAAGGCATTCCGGTGAAGCTAAAAAGTAGAAGAATGGAAAAGCATTTTTCTGCATTTCAGCTTTACCGGAATGCTTTTATTAGGTCTGTTCCGACATGAGATGTTCCGAGTAGTTCAGCAATGGCTTTGCCGGCGGCGGGGAAACTTATTGGCGCTCGCCTGCGACTGCAGCGGGCGGGGCGCGTCGGCGGCACGTCTGATCGGACAAGTCGAGGACGGGGCGGCGGCGGCGGACTTTCGCAGGGTCGATCGACGTCGTCGACGACGCAGCTTCGGCTTCGTTTTCCATTTCCGTCGGGGTCGGCGCGGGTCTCTAGTTCTGCTCAAGTTGAAGTAATCTGGAGGAGTAGTGTCGGGCCAGGCGGGTGAGCGGGCGAGCGAGGGCGAGGTGGCGGCGCTCCGCTCGCTTCCCCGGGGGACAAAGATGCCAGAGGAGGAAGTCGTAGGGCAGCTAGCAGGGGTTGGAGGTGGGGGGCTGAAAATGATAAGAGGAGACCCTGATCCACTGCGGCTGCGGCGAACCGTTCAAAGGAGCAATCAGTGCATCAGTGAGGTCAGCAGGGCCGCACACGGGGCCGCGCGCGCTCTCGTGGTGGAGGTCGGCGACCCGCCCGATCAAGCGGGTCACGCACCCACACACACACACACCACCACCTCCAGCAGCACAAAGGTCGACCACCTCCGGACCCGCGCGGGTGACAGGTCTTCTTGGAGCTTTTGGCCTTCGACACCAGAAAAGAAACGAGGAAACAGCAGGCAGGGCCAAGAACGCCCAACAACATGTCGATCGAGTTTCTCCTCCACGCTCCAGGAAAATGGAACGAAATTGGGTCTCCATTCGGGTCGGCGACCCGCGGCTTTGCGTCCCAAACAATGGACTCTCCGTGGCGCGCGCCACGGGCGGGCCGCGGGCTGCGGGCCCCCCGCCTTGCCGGCCCGGGAAATCAAGCGAAAATGTAATTCTTTCACGTTCACGGGATTCGTTTCCTCTCCACGAGCCCCATCCCAGAGGGCCCCTGCTCGCTCGGCCGGCCGCAGTAACCCCGACGCCCTGGCCGGCCGAGCGCAGCGATACCCCCACGTTTCGCCCATCCGCCATCAGCCGCAACCCCATTGCCGACTGCCGACTTCCGACGCGACTGACTCTGCCACTGCGACGACAGAGGAACGGCCAGAGAGCAGCAGTAGGAAAAAAACAAGACGAATTGGACGACAGACTGCATCGTCGGCCCGGAAAGCAACCTAATCTGGGATCAGAGAGATTCCTCGGGCTCTGCTGGAACACGGCTCGGTGAGTAACCAGTAACCTCCCTCTAACAACATAACCTCAACCAGGCGAAAACCTAACCTAAATACTCGCCGCGTGGGCGGATGCTTCGAAAGACTTGCTCTCAATGTGCGTCGGTTAGTCTTTACGGTCAAGACCAAACGTTTATCTTGTTCAGGATACCTTCTGCACTATCCACAAATAAACAAAGTTTGAAAGAAACTGTTTGACTTGGAAGTCACGTTGAACTAACCTTTTTAGCCGGTCGTCGGATAAAGTTTTCTTCGCCATTCCAGCACGATTTGCAGTTCTTAGACAACCTTCAAACGACAGCGAACAGTACGTTGGTTGTAGTTGTTCCACCAGTTCCACTTTTGCAAAATCCACGGCGATTCGAAAAATGCTTGTCCTCTGTTGAGTTGGTCCTGCCATTTGCCTTGATTTGAGAGCTCAAGGTGGTGTTTTAGCAAACGAGGGTTCGGGTTGGAGCTAGGGATACTCTTTAGTGCTAGGACGAGCGCAATCGGGGACCCGTTCCCGTCCCCCGGCACGCCGGCGGCGCGAAATCGCGCGAAATACGGAAACGTGATAGCTCTACAGACAGGATCCCGATCCCGGCCCGGGCCCGGAGCGCGGCTCGGCTCGGGAGCTCGGGCCGCCGTGACGTCAGAGGCGGTGCAGACAGTGTCGGGGCAGTCGAGGAGGAACTCGAATCTAGAATGCGTATTGGTGCTGAGTGCCCCACTGGAACACCAGCGCCTATAAAGCATTCCGGTAAAGCTGAAATGCAAAAGAATGCGGGGAAGATGAAAACGGAAATTACTATGCTTCAACATGGGTACCTCCGTTTTCTTGTTCCCTGCATTCTTCGGCATTTCAGCTTTACCGGAATGCTTTATTAGGCGCTTATATCGCGCTTTTTTTATTCCTTTTGTTCTTCTAAAAGCTCGATTTAAGCCCACTAAGCAATAACATAGTTACATCCGTTTTGCCATTTCCCACATTCTTCCTCTTCTCCGCCGCTTTATCGAAATGGTTTAATGAGGCCAGACGTCAATCTTTCGGTTACAGTGAGTGCAGGGAGTACGTACGTCAAAATGAAGGGTCCATTTTGACGTCACTGTGACAGTAACAACGGCTAAACTTCCTCACTGGGGTTTATTTTCGTTTGCAAGTTTTCACGCTTCTGTAGCTAGCTGCATCCCATTAAGTTTGTTGACTCAGGTCAGGGCGGGACTCGCTGTCCCTCGCAACCCCATCCCGCCCGCCGGCTGGGTGTGCGTCAGCCTCGACCCGCCGCCCCGGCCTGCCCCGGCGCTGCCCTTCGCCCACGCTTTCTTGCCCTGGCGGTTCGCTGACCCTATCTCCTTGCCCTAACCCCCTGCCTCCCCCTCTTCCCCCTCACTTCATTCACCCGTGAGCAGAGCAAATGGAACGGCAGCTTCGAAACTTTGAAATTGGCCCTCGCCGTTTACTTACAAAACATTTGTTGTGCTTGCGTATAGTTTCCCCTTTATGCAAATACCACCCGTACCGCCTCGAATTTCCACATTTCTCCGTTTGAAAAATATAAATAATATCAACACAAATGGAAGCGAAAGCGACGTGACGATGTGGTGCTTCGGTCACGGATGTCCAGGTGGGCCGCTGGCGGGGCTCCGCGCTGGACGCTGGACCAGCCGCGCGCCCGCCGGGGTAGGCACCCCAACCGCCAGCGGCGCGGCGCGTGCTGTACGTTGCCGGCGACTGCGAGTCGCTCAGCCGCTCACCTCACAACGGCGGCGGCGCGGCATAGGCGGGGATATAGATTTTAAGATCCAAATT